CCAGTGGGACCGCCCACATGCGTCCCACACACCCAATTTGGAAGTTTCACCCACCCAGCACAGCGCTTCGTGGCGCCATAGGAAACTCCACCGAAACCCCCGGTGGGACCGTCCGCATGCGTCCCGCACACCCAATGTGGCACGTTCACCCACCCAGTATAACGCTTCGTCACCCCATTTGGAGCTCCACCGAAGCCCCTTGTGGGACCGTCCGCATGCGCCCCGGAAACCCAATTTTGCATTTCCACCCACCCAGTACAGCGCTCCCTGGCCCCATTCTGAGCTCCACCGAAGCCCCCAGTGGGACCGTCCGCATGCGCCCCACACGCATTGAATTTGCATTTTCACCCACCCAGTACGGGGTTTCGTGGCCCCATAGGGAGGTCCACCGACGGCCCCAGTGCTACCATCCGCATGCGTTCCCCCCCCACCCAGTGGAGCGCTTCGTGGCCCCATAGGGAGCTTCACCGAAGAAGATCTGCACAATTGCGGTACCCACAACTGCATATGGTTGGGTCCTTCGCCAGGGTCATTTTTTGGTGTGTTCGAGACTCTCGATTTTGAAATCATGGCAGACTGTTGGTTCTTGACAGATTTCGGAATGCGGGCGCGACGACGGTCGCGGGTGCACTTCGTCCCATCTGTTGCAAAGGATTCTTGAAAACTACTGCTTATTGATAAACGAGCTTGCGCGCATAGCATTTTCTGCAATTGTCGATCAATAAACGACTTCTGATACATGGTTTGCTTGGTAAGCGATGAATGGGGGAAATTCTGGGCTGGCTGGGATGGTGGCGGTGCGCGAGGCCGGGCCAATACCTCAGGGGGCGCGATGGGACTAGGATCTCGTCTTCTTGCAAGAAAAAAGGATCCATGCGAGGCGGCGGCGGGCGGCAACGAAGCGGTCACACACAGCCGACGGAGCGGCACGCCGGCCCAGACGACCAGGCGGCAACGGGGCGGCAACGAAGCGGCCACGTGGCCGCCAGAGCGGCACGCCAGCCCAGGCGACGGGCGGCGACGAGGCGGCGACGAGGCCGCGACGGCGGCCACAGAGCCGCCGAGGGCGGCACACAGGCCCAGACGACGGGCAGCGACGAGGCAACGACGGCGGCCACGTAGCCGCCGGTGCGGCACGCTGGCCCAGGTCGTGACAAAACAGTCAGGACGCCTCGGTGCAAGCTTAGGTCGGGCCTGTGCCTCTACAGAGGGATTTTGGACGAAAGAGAAAGGATCCGTAAAAAATGTTCAAAAGATGCCCAACATACAAAAAAAAATCCCCTGATTATTTTTTGCGATGTTTGAATATTCCCCCTGGAAAAGGACAGGCCCGACTTAAGTGCAAACACTGTTTGGGAACTCTGCCATGGGCGGTTAGAGGGGGGGCATATGGCCTGCTGCTTGCAGGCCCACCGCGTCCAAGCTTCCAAGACGACAAAAGGCAAGCAGCCAAGGCCGCTAAGATTAGGTCGGGCCTGTCCCCCATACAGGGGGATTTTGGCCGAAAACAGAGGTACACCAAACATACTCCCTGAATGCTAAACAAATCAAACAATAATATCCAGAATAGTTTTTGAATATTTTGACTCAGAGTGAGGGGGCTGAACCGAACGGTCATGAACTGTCCCTGGGAGCGTGGCTGAAGTGGAATGCCGCGATGCGGACTATCGTTGTTGTTGTTGATGTTGGTGTTGTTGAGCTTGTTGCTAATGCTGATGTTGTTGCTGCTGTTGTTGTTGTTGCTGTTGTTGTTATTGTTGTTGATGTTGGTGTTGTTGTTATTGTTGTTGATGCTGCTGCTGTTGTTGTTGTTGTTGTTGCTGTTGTTGAACATTATTACTTCTAAAGAATAATTATTGTTGGGGCCCCTGGTGCACGACCCCCCCGCCGCGCCTAGGCCGGAGCCTCATTTTCATCATTTTCGTGAAGAAGTCTCAGGCAAAACGGGGGAGTCCGGATCCGGTTGTGTTGTTACGATCGGTTTTCCCTTGCAAAAAAAAAAAAGCTAAAGTGGACATTTCTTGTTCTAACATAACCAAACTTCAAGAATCCCTTGCAAAAAAAAGGTAAAGTGGACATTCGCGCGCGCAAGACGAAATCCTTCCAAAACCTTAGTTTTCGTAGCGATTTTAACATAAAAACATCAAAAACCCAATGGTTTTTCAACAAAAAAAATGTCAAAATTTCATCCCGCGCGCTCTTGCGGATTCGTAGGAAACCCAACACTTTTTAAACATTTCTGTCAAACGGGCTTTTGCGAGCAACTTTTTCGAACTTCTGCAACAACGGTTGCGCACCTGCCAGGGCCATCATCCCTGTCAAATAATACCATGCGGGACACATTCGTTTTTTCTTCGCGCGCGCACGCCGTCGTCGTCGGCCGCGGGGCCCTGAATAGTAGCCACGGTCGTCCGCATGCCACGAAGTGAAGTGTCCGAACGTCATAGGGCGGGAAGCTGGGTGTGGGTGGTGGCGAAGAGTCGTTTGGAAATTTGGTAGAGCTTGAACCGGCCCCCCCACAAAGTGGGGGTATTGCCCGCCTCCTATGAAAACCCTGGCACTGGTGAGAACGGAGTGTCCCCACGTGCTAGTAATTGTTGTTGTTGTTGTTGTTGTTGTTGTTGTTGTTGTTGTTGTTGTTGTTGTTGTTGTTTGTTGTTGTTTATTGTTTCTTATTGTCGTCGTCCCACCCGCGACCCGCCCCACCCGCGAGCCACCCCGCGACCCACCCGCGACCCACCCGCGACACACCCCGCGACCCACCCCACGACCCACCCGCAACCCACCCGCGAACCCACCCGCGAACCCACCCGCGACCCACCCCGCGACCCGCCCGCGACCCACCCCGAGACCCCCCCGGCGACTCACCCGCGACTCACCCACCCGCGACCCACCCGCGACCCACCACGCGACCCACCCGCGACCCAACCCGCGACCAACTTAAAATCTTCGGCGCCTGCAGCGAATTTCTTTTGCAGTCGTTCCAGGTGGAGAACCTGCGACCCACCCGCAACCCAAACTGCGCCCGCGAAGCACCCGCGACCCACCCCGACGCGACCCACCCGCGACCACCCCGCGACCCACCCCACGACCCACCCGCGACCCACCCGCGACCCACCCGCGACCCACCCCGCGACCCACCCGCGACCCGCCCGCGACCCACCCCGAGACCCCCCCGGCGACTCACCCGCGACTCACCGGCGACCCACCCGCGACCCACCCGCGACCCACCCCGCGACCCACCCGCGACCCACCCCAAGACCAACCGAAACTTTCCGGCGCCTGCGGCGAGTTTCTTTTGCAGTCGCTCCAGGTGGAGAACCTGCGACCCACCCGCGACCCAAACTGCGCCCGCGAACCACCCGCGACCCACCGCGTCCCACCCGCGACCCACCCGCGACCCACCCCGCGACCCACCCAAAATTTTTGGCGCCTGCGGCGGGCTTCTGTTGCATTCGTTCCAGGTGGAGAACCTGCGATCCACCCGCGACCCAAACCGCGTTCAGTGAACAAATCAAAAATTTTCGGCGCCCGCGGCGGGCTGTTTTTGAATTCCTTCCAGGTGGAGGTGGAGAGCCCGCGACCCACCCGCGACCCAAACTACGTTGTTCACTGAACAGGCCAAAACTTCGGCGCCTGCGGCGAGTTTCTTTTGCATTCGTTCCAAATGGAGAACCTGCGACCCAAACCGCGTTCAGTGTATAGATCAACATTTTCGGCGCATGCGCCGGGCTGTGTTTGAATTCCTTCCAGGTGGAGGTGGAGAATCCTCGACCCATCCGCGACCCAAACTACGTTCACTGAACAAGCCAAAGCGGACGAGGAACAGGAGGGGGAGGAGGAGGAGGAGCAGGAGGAGGAGGAGGGCGCCATCGACAGGGAAGGTGAGGGCCACGAGGTCCGCCGGCTCGACGCCCGCGTCGCCCGCGCCCGCCCCCTCACTCTTATCCGCAATTGGGGGGTGCTACGTATTCCCCCTGTAGAGGGATAGGCCCGATTTAACGTTAAGAGGATCAAATCTACCTCCAAGATGGTCCAAGATGGTCCCAAGGCAGTCCAAGATGTCATGAAGTTGGCCCAAGAGGTCCTAAGACGGCCCACGAGGGCCACACGAGGACCCCCTCCCAAGTAGGGCCGGGAGAAGCCAAACACATGGATATTCCAAGTATGCTTCGTATGTTTCTGAACATGTATGGTGTATTCGCCTGTTCGGGCTGCCTTCAGCTGCAGACTGCCCCGGAGACCTCCGACCATGGCCCCAAGACAATTCCCAAATATCCCCCAAAAAGGCATCGTGGCAGACCAAGAAGATCCCTAGACGGCCCATGACGGCCCCAAAAGAGCCCCAAGCTGGCCCAGGGGGGCCTCAGAGGAACCCCGAGACGGCCCCAGAGGTGGCCCAAAGACGGTTCCATGACGGCCGCAAGCGACACCCCAGATAACAAACAGGGCCCCAAGACGGCCCCAAGATGGCCCGAAGTTGCCCCACAGGAAGACGACGACGACACGAAGTCACATGGCACGGCTCACCCAAGCCTCAGGACACGAGGTGTCACACGTCATGGCCTCCTGTGACCAACCGAAGCAGAAGCCAGGGCGGGGGTTCGGATGGGGAGCGAGAGGCCACAGGCCGAGGAGGAGCTGCGTCGTATCAGTCCCGCCCTCCCTCGCCAAGCCGCGACAGACTGGCCCAAGCAGAGCAACAAACACGAACTACAAGCACAGCCTTCTGGAGGTCTGAGCGGACTTTTAGGGGTCGGCGCTGGGCCTGGGGACGGGGGGCGCAGCTGACCAAGCGGCATCCGACCCGACCGTCCGCCCTCGCCCCGCCCTCTGGTACTTCGCGGTGCGCGACGGCAGGCAGAAGTCCGTCGGCCTCCTTCGGGCGTCCTGGCGTGGTGTTCGGCCGCCTCCTGCTTTGAGGTGGCCAGCGCAAGCCTTCTGGCGGCGGGACGTCCGCCGAGTCTGAGTCCGACCCCGACCGCCCTTCCCCTCGGGAC